ATAGTGCCATGCCATATCACATTTGACTTCTTTAATATTATTTTATCAGTTATAATATTATTAATATTATTATTATGTTGTACAATTTTATTATTATTATCGTTAAAAAAATATATTAATTAAATAAAAAAAGTTAAAAGTATCACGTGCTGATCATCAATTACCTTGGTTACCGAGTACCTCGTTATAACGGATCATTGAGGCCAAACCAGTGTGTTCGTTATAACGAGGTTCGACTGTAGTAGTATTAGTAGTCGATTATTAGTTGCTCAAAAAAAAGTTTAGTCGACTATTTTAGTCGATTCCAACCTCTAGTTTTCTGCAAAGGATATTTTATATGGCATATATATAAATATAATGCACCATCAAAGATTGTAATTCTGTCTTTTTAATGTTAAATTAGAATATTTCTTTATAAAAACTTCACTGATAAATAATTTAAAACCATTATTACATAATACAGTCAAACCTTGTCACGGCGGATGAACGGGGGCACATAAGAAAATTTTATTTAAAATCGAGTAATATTGATCAATTGGACCGAACATCATGAATGCAAAGTATATAGTCCATGTAACAGTTTCAATTGAACAAAGTCCTCATTCAGTTAATTCTATTATTTTTTGAAGGTGAAGGTCATCAACAATGTCGTTTCTAGATAAAAACCCTGTCATTATGAACCAATAAAATCTTCACAGAATCAATCCATCAGAGTACCTTGTCATGCGAATAAAATACAAGTTCCGTAGTACTGCAATATCTTTCTGATAGAGAACCATTTGCATAGAAGGCCAATGGCTGTGGTGAGTGATTCTTGATGGATGTTTGTAAGGAAGAGGAAGAAAATATTATTAGATAAGTTAGCAATTAATCTATCGGTTTGATATGTTTAGACAGGAGGTAGTATATTAACAATACGTTGTATTAATATATATCAATTTAAGTTTTGAGCAATTGGCAAAGTAGATATAATTCTGGATCATTCGGTTGGCAATCCTTAGCATTGGAAGCCATTCTTCACATAATATCACCCATGTCAATGGGAATTCCCCTAAAATACTTGACAATGTATTCGATGAAAATATTGATAATATAGAACAAATGAGCGACCCGATTACAAAGACATGGAGACGATGCAAATTTCCTAATTCATTGGGAATGTGTCGATCGATTTTGAAGTTACAACTATATCAATGTTGTTCGTGTCTGCTACTTTAAATGTGCCGGACATTCTTTGGACAAAAGTCTTTACTTTCTGTCTCTACTCTCTGAATTATTAATATAGGGTTATTTAATTACCCGGTTGATTAATTAACTGATATTATTTATAATAATTTCCTTGATCTTGTCTTAACATTTGTGCAAAGTCGTTTAAACAATTATAATTGTGTTAATTGAGTTACGCCTAATTTTACGCCTCGTATTTGTTAAATTAGACATTTATTTAGATGCCGAATTATTCGATTTTTTTTTTTGGAAACCATTTTTTCTTCTCCTGATTCTTCAACATATGCTTTACAAAAGGTTTTTGAATTGCTTTGGTTTGATTCAATATCGGTTCTAATAATATGTCGATGGTAAAGGCGTTTTCTCACGTTAACTTGTAGCTTGTACTATTAGTCCTGGACGTCCGGGACATTTAATAAATGAGCGGACACGACAAATTGTTACGCGGACATTGTCCGGGACATGTCTGTGTCCGCTCGACATTAGTCGAACATGTCCCGTGTATAACAATGAGCTATGTGATATATTAATATATCAAGGTTTATGGAATTAAGATGAAGCGAATAAATAAAATTGTGGCAATAGTAACACCGATGAGTCAAGTTCAACATCTACTTTCTTTCCTATCTGGAATTTTCCTTGTTTAAAGATATCATAGTAATTGGGCGGAAGGGTTACTTAATTCGTTTAATTTATTGATGATGTTTACCTCTGAAGTTTTTGCTACCTCGATATCAAATATTTGTATTTTCCATTTTTCGATGTTTGAGATTGACCTAATATTTATATAGATTTTGAGATCATCCAGGAAAACTTATCAGATATATGAAGCAAGATAAGAACAAAGTTGTGAATTTGGTCTATCAGTTAACTATATCCCTATGTTTAAAGATTTAGCCTCATTGAGATGAAATGTATTTTTTTTACATGATGTATCTTTATTTCAAATATTTATTCACATGTGTATTAGTAATAAGATGTCATAAACACATAATTAGTTAAATCTAATACAAAGTAGTATGATGGAATGAAAATAAAAAAAGTTCTTATACATCCTGCTTGGGTCAGACCCGAAATAATACTTAAAGGATCGGGTTTTCCGGTTTATTCTTGATAAATCCTGTTTATGTTCAAAATTTTTAAAAAGAATCCTTTTCAAAATATTGATAATATTGTTAAGTCCTATTCCTTTTTAGTACATATATTCTATAGCTGTCAAATTATATGCGTATAATAATATTTATATTAATATTGATATATAATAATAAAGTTTGGTTGGTTTTTTCTCGGAAAAGATTTTTGGCCTGTAACACTTGTTTAAATTTGCCAAAGCATGAGATTTTTATATAATAGGTAAATCAAAATTATTTAGCAGACTGTATACATATATTACCAATATTCAAAGATCCAGATTGTGAAAGTTGATTTTATAACCATTTTATTAGGAATGTATTTTTAAAAATTTGTATATTTATCAAAAATGCTGTAATTATATTTAAGACTATTATCAAATAAATCATTCTTTATTTCTTCAATTATTTATTGTTTAGTGAATAAATTGATTTCTTGATTTTTTTTAGGGACTTTTCCAAGATGAATTTGAAGAAGGCATGAATGATTATAATAATTTCCACCTTTCTTGCTTTATTGATTTGCATCCCAGTGCGATTTTCTTGCTTTTAAATTTAAAAACGAAAAATTTTACTTGCACCATCCATTTCAGACTGTAACATATAATTTTATTGGCAATATGCTAATAATAATAACAATAGTAATTATTATTATTACAAGCAAAAATTAGTAGTTTAGCTATAGTCATAATGGGTAAAGTTATTTTATTTTATAGGAATCACTCTAATTTCCCTTGGATCCTTGCAGCTTTAAACCTTGAAATCTTTTTTGGCTTTTCTACCTTTTCTGTTACTGGTGGTTGCAATTCTTGTTGGTTCTGTTCTTGTCTCACCTGATTCACAGAAGGTGATAACTGCATTTTATTTGTGTTGAAAGGTAAATTTTCCATAATATCCAATTAATTAATAATTCTAATAGGGAAGAAAAGGAAAATCATAAAGTTTTAAGAACCTCATTTTTTTCTTTCAAAAGTCCACCTTCTTTTGCTATGATATCAAGACGTTTTTGATGATACTCTGAAGCAATCTGTACAAAGTAAATAAAAATAAATTAATGCGTGCAATTCAAGAAAATTATTTTACTCATTACCTCTTTCATCCAAAACTGGTTTTCCAATTCATCTAAACCAACTTCAGATTTGAAATCCTTTTCAACTACAATTTCTTTGATTACTTTATTCTTAAAATTTTTTTTTAATATACTTTTATCATCATCATCATCATCATCATCATCATCATCATCATCATCATCATCATCACCATCATCATCACCATCACCACCACCACCGCCATTGTTATCATTATTATAATTGTAATCATCCTCATACTCATCCTCATCATCTGAATCTTGTTGTTGCGTGTGTCTAAATTCATCCTCATTGTCACTATCATCATCATCATCTTCTTCATCTTCATCATCTTCATCATCAGAATCTTGCTGCTGTATACGTTTCAACTCTTCCTCCTCCTCTTCAATGAATTTATCTAAAAATTTCAGATCATAATAACCTGACTTTACATCTTTTTCAAATTTCACTGTATATATAATTAATAATTAACAAAATCAAAAACATAATTCAATTAATTTAATTTTTAAAAAAATTTCACAAAATGTCTACCTTTTTTCGTTGGCTTTTTTGTTGATTCTTTTTCTTCATCAGAATGATATTCTTCAACAATGTCAACAAAAGGTAATCCTTCTTCATTCAACTAAATTAACAATATTTTAAATTATAAGGTGAAAACCATTGTTAAAAAAAAAAATATCTTTACAAGTGTCATTATAATATTATTTATTATAATTTACTATTTGCTTTTTACTAGGGAAATTCAAAACTTCTGAAGTAAGATGGATTTTGGATTTTAGATTTTCAATTTGAACTTTTAAATCTTCTATTGTTTTATTAACCACTTTTTTTGACAAAGGAAAAAATTAATATTTCTAAAAATCTAGTTCTTTTGGTTTCTTGATATTTTATTTAATAAATAAAATCATTTATAGATATTACCTACTTTCAATTCTTCTATCGACGATTCCAATTGCTTGATATGCAGAGCGTTCAACAAACCAATTATCACCAAGCAATACTAATATTTCATTGGTATGTACAAGTTTTCCTGGCATAAACGCAAATTTACTAATTGGAACCTTTGTTTTTTATTTTTCAATATACAATAAATTAATCATATCATATTAAAACATATGAACATTTTTTTACAAACATTAAAAAAATTTACCATAACATTATGTTCGGTTTCTTTATTCAAAACTTTCAACGTAGATTTCAATGCTTCATAATCTTTCTCATAATTACACCAATGTTCTAATGCTTTATTTGTATCAAAAATTGACTGCTCAATTTTTGATTGATAAAATTTAGTAGAGTCTTCGAATGAAACTTTTTTTTTTCCTTTCGATGATGATGATTCCATTTTTAAAAAGTTTTGAAAACGATAAAATTGACATATCATTGACACATTTACGTAATAATCTGCATGTATAAGGCTAAATAAAGGTAGTTATTTTGCCTAACTAGACGCTTATATATGAGATCATTACGTAATGGATCATTCATTTATGATCAAAAATCGTGGACAACTTTTTTAAATCATAAATAATATTCTTTTTAATTAAATATTTTAATGAGTAAAAAAAGTTCATCAAATTTGAATAATGGAAATACCTCAATTTTTAAGGAAAATTCATTTTTGACAATAAATTCACCCGCAACAAGGTGGTTTGATTGGTTGAGTAATTCTCAATTAGAAAAATGGTCAACTTTGTTAAGCTTAATCTTTGGAATTTATATAAAATGGACTGTAGGTTTAAATCCATACTCAGGTATAATATCTATTAATGTTATTTGGTTTTTTAAAGAAAAAGGTTTGCTTTTATAATTTATGAGTTTATTCAGGTTACAATACTCCACCAATATATGGAGATTTTGAAGCACAAAGACATTGGATGGAGTTGACATTAAATGTTCCAATTAAACAGTGGTATTATTATGACACAGAATGGTGGGGCCTTGATTATCCTCCACTGACAGCATATGTAAGTTGGATTTGTGGCAAAATGTATGTATAATTTAAGAAAATAAGAAAATAATTCCAATTTCCATTTAAAATATTAAATCCATATATTTATTTATGCATATATTTTCAATAGAGGATATTTAATTAACCCTGAATGGGTTGAACTAGATGAATCTCGTGGTTATGAAAGTACAGAACTTAAAATATTTATGAGATCAAGTGTGTTAATCCTAGAATATCTGATATTTATACCTTCAGTTTTAGTATTTGTAAATTGGTGGTTTGTTGATTCATGGAAGAAGAAAGTATGGTTTAATATTTTTGAAAATATATATGTCTTTATATATGAATGATACTTTTTAATGTTTGAAAATTTGTTGATTAGGAAGTGACAACTTTGTTTATTTTGATGCAACCAGCTCTAATATTAATAGATCATGGACATTTCCAGTAACTATTATTTATTTATTCTAAATGCCTGAGAATATAAGAGAGAATGCTTTCTAATATCACTTGTTGTATTGAATCTCATTAGATATAATTCGTTGATGCTTGGATTTACACTATGGTCATTGAATTGTTTTTTTTATGATTATGATATTTTAGGGAGCATTTTTTTTTGTCTTTCCATATGTTTTAAACAAATGGCACTTTATTATGCTCCTGTGATTTTTGCTTATTTATTAGGAAAATGTATTAAGACAAATGGGTAATTAATTATATAATATATATATGTATAATATTATATTATGTATCTTGATTAAAATTGATTTATTAATTATTATTGTTTTTTAAAAAAAATTGTGTAAATAGGTTTATTCTTTTTTTAAAATTAGGCTTAACAGTAATTATAACATTTAGTGTGATGTTTTTTCCATTCTTAGATTCACTTGATCAGATTACACAAGTGATTTGGCGTATTTTCCCTTTATATCGTGGATTATATGAAGATAAAGTTGCCAACATTTGGTGTTCTATAAATGTGATTATTAAATTACGTGAATTGTTTGAAATCTATGTATTAACAAAGTTGAGGTAAATTATTTAATGGTTGTTCAATATATATGTGTGTGTGTATTAAATATGTTATTTTTTACAATAATAACAATAATAAATGTTGATTTTTTTTTAGCCTTTTAACAACTCTTATAGCTATTTTACCAACTTGTTTTTACATTGGAATAACAACTGATAAACATCAACTTGTATATAGCTTAGCAAATTGTTCTTTAGCCTTTTTTTTGTTTTCTTTTCAGGTACATGAGAAATCAATATTATTACCAGCATTGCCCATCACCTTATTAATCATGGATGAACCATTTTGGAGCCCTTTGTTTATTAATGTTGCAACGTTTAGGTAAAAATTTTCCCCAAATATTTGGATTTCCTGATCTTTGAAACAAAAAATAATTTAGTAAATTAATGTATGTTTGTGTGCAAATGCACATTAGCTTGTTTCCACTTTTGAGGAAAGATCAACTAGTTTTCCCTTATCTTATTTTACTTTCAATGTGGAATTGGTTGGGCTCATTCTTTCACCAAGGTACAAAATCTTTATTATTAAGAATTTTATCTTGGGTAAGTTGTTTTTCACTCTCTGAAAATTTTTTTAATTTTTTTTTTACAATATATATTAATAAAATCTATATTTATTTTTTTATAAAGTTATCATATTTATTTATGATTGTTTTTCATATATTAGAATTTAAGGTTTTGCCACCTGAAAAATATCCTGATATTTATGTTGTCATAAATGTTATTTTTAGTTCAGGAATATTTATTTTAACATTTATTTATTTTAATTATAAGCAAATGATAGACTTATTTAGAAAGCATCACCACCAAGGTTCTAATGAAAAGGATAAAGTTGAATAAAATAATAAAATTACAAAACCTATATCCAAATCAAGTATTTATTTTTGTATGTGACTTCATAATTGAAGATTTTTTTTTTTTGAGTAAAGATTAAATCAATGTATTTCTTCTTAACAAGTAGAACATAATATAATGAATGGCTGGTTATTTTGTTAAATCTTCCTGACCCCATTGGATCTTTTTGATATTGAGTGTGTTGAAGTGCTGCAAAGTCTCACTTAAGACATGTACTGCAAATTGTCGGTTAAAGCCATAAACCAAAATCACAGAGCACAGACAGACACTAACATATTTGCACCAGTAACATCAACAGCTGAACCAACTTCTACTATTGTAAAATACCTCAACCACTATTAATATTCAAATCACTACACCAACAATATCACCAAACAACTAAAATTCTATTACTGTAGCAATAACAAGGTTCACCACCAGCTATCAAGCTCAAACTGGAGAATCCTACCAAATAGCTATCACCAACAAAAGTGATTCCAACCAAGTTCCCATATTAGATGTTGAGACAGAATCTTAAAATGTGATTGTGACTGGCCCACAAAAAAGCTGGGATCATTACAAATGGGTGGCAGCTAGCAAAAAGGGTTATTGCTGCTGATGATGTGGAAACCAACCAACAAATCTAATACTATAGGCAGCCAGGAATGGGGTTATTATCAAATATGTGCGAAACATGCCATGAAAACACCAAGGAATCCTGGTTTAATACACCATGCAAAATTGTGAAAAACCAATGACTGAAAAAGTCAACATTGGATGTTTGCTCAGAGATTTGTAAATATGTTTAATGGTCACTTCAGCAAAAGAATTCAAACAAAAATTTATGTTTTAGATTCACTTTTTGATGCTCTTTAAACTTATAAAGCTTTTTATGATTTTACTTGCATAAAATTTTGTAACATATATTCACAACTTTTACTTTGATTTTCTAGC